TTTTTATGGCAAGATGGCGCAAACGGAAGTCCTTCGCAGGTTTATGGTTTCTCATATTTAAATCATCATAACTCTGAAGATAATCATTTTTTTTATTTATTTTTTTCAAATTTATAATCAATGTACATAACTTGATAAATACAAACACCAAAATAGGCTCTATTTAGTTCCCCTTTAACAGACATGACCCATCCCCCACCCAACTCTTGCCTTGGCAAATTCTATTAGACACATTGAAAAGACTCAAAAGTGTATTTCTCCAAATGAAAACAATTAATTTGACACTGATATCAATTAATTAAATGGCAAACTAAATACTCTGGTATGTCATTCATGTTCAGCTAATTCATTACAAAACTCTCCAATGGCTTACCCTGTCTAATAATTTTAAGGTATTTAAAAAGCAAACAAAAAATGGTTGCCCAGTTTTAATGACAAATAATTTCCTTCAGCAGAAAAACGCACATATTAGCGAAGTCTTGTGTTCTGAAAATGAACTGATTGTCAAGTAATTAAATGTATACTCTTCACAGTATTGTATTTTATCACTAACATTATCAATTTCTCAACTACCAGGAGTAATATTATTGTACTCGCATATAATTAGACTTGTACCATATTCTTTCTTTTTTAACAGATCATGCATTTGTGTTTTTCCACCCATCACTGATTTCTGCTGCATGCATAGCTGCATCCAGGATATGCCTACTTCTCTCACCATCGTGGACAAAAAAACTGATAAAATTTACAAAATATTCATGGGATGAGATTGCACCATGTATTGATGTCATGCTCAAGTAAGTATTTATTTTGCTGGATTCATTTTATTTGTAACAGATTCTGATCCCATTCATTTTATTTTCACAAATCCAGGAAGTTACAATAACTTGGTATAATAGTAGTAAAGCGGAAATCGAACGATTCGACTTGCCAGTTCAATTTGGTGATTTACTGAAATTGAGAGCTTGTCAGTAAGATGGTATCAATAATGATCTGCTGTGGTAATGGTGGAACGTTTAATTCAGTCAATTAAAAAGTAATCAATCCCTTGACTGTATAATAATTCTTAACTACCTTGTCTATGGCTTTTCAAATTCATCTGTGTCAATATTTTGTGACTTACTGTCTCAATGCCTTGTGCGTAATTCTATCAGAATTTCATACCTTAATTGTAACTACCGTCGATGCAAAACAAATTAAAAATATTGGCAATATTTAATTAAGGGATTTATGATTGTGATGGACTGTTACACGTAAAAAAGTTATCACAGCCAGTTATGGTCTTCAAAGAGCAAATAAATTTACTCAATTCTCTGGATTTTCTACAGTTCGTATAATAATCCATTAATATTAACGAAATATTAACGAAACTGTCTAACTGAACGATGAACAATTCTCTGGAACTATTTTTTGTCTGTCATAGATGATAATGTATGGTCTTACTTTACAAGTAAACCCTCACTAGCCAACAATATAAAAATCTAAGTAAATTTAAAGGCGGCAGTCGTCGGGCCGCGCCCTGTTCGATGTAGGACTCATAGCGACGTATACAATGCGTGTAAAATACATTGTTTATTTACATGAAATTCGAACATGAGCTGCGCGACGACCACCACGCTTTAAGTACCAGCTGACTATGTACTGTAAATGTATCAGTTCGTATCAGTTTGTCTTCACTAAAATTCCATTCACAACCCTAAGGTTTGTGTATCCTAGTATCATATTAAATAAAACAGTTGCAATATGAGCATGTCATCCCTGGCAAAATGTTCAAAATACATCGATCACACAGTTTCATATCTTTCATCCCACTCTCCACGAACCCATGCTGTAAGTATACATGAGTTGGAGGTCGTATCTGATTGTAAACAATAGCAAAATTACCGACCAATCAGATTTGTTGTTACAAATTTCAAATGTAACAAGCTCCTAGTGAACACTTTGTAATAATAGAAAATCCCAGTTCCATTTGTTACGAGGTGTTCCTACCCTATACTATCCCTGTTTTAGAGAGTGCACTTGGAGGAAAGTTTCAAATGGAAGATGTACAGCGTCGTTTGCAGCTGTTTTATCGTATTCATTCTGCACCAATCTAGTGATTACTTTGTTGACGCGGCACCTGATTGCGATGACTGACAGTACAGAGATATTGTATTTTGGTTGTTGCCATTCATACTGGGGTTTAACGTGTCTGCTTGTAACCAGTGGACAAATTGTAGCTGAGACGTGCAGCTATTAAAATTTAGGAATACAAGTGTTTTGATGACTAAACATGGATGCATGCTCACATTACTTGTACAAGTCTAAATAAAACAGGCAATGTTGTATACAAACATGGGGTAGGAATAACTTTTTATTTGGTTTTATTTTTTAATTTTAATTAATCTTGATGTCAACAAAAATTCTCATGATAAATGAATATATATTCATGGACATGCAGACATTTTCATGTGAAGAATTTATACAGCATGCAGCAAGAAACAGGAAGTAGGCTCCCTCCAGTTGTGACTTACCACATTTAGCTATCCATTGTACTCTCCACATAGAGGGTGTTTGCTCCCAGCATGCATAATAATATGCGCAAAAATGGCGCTGGTCCTAATTGACAGTTATGTGTGCATGAAGCCTGCTAGGATAAAACACCCTCTGTGTGGAGAGTGTATCCTGAGTTAATTACCAGAAATGCACTATTTCTCGTTATTTGGCCTAATCTACATAGTTTCTTCTTTTATTTTGTAGAGCTCATGATAGTGATGAGAAAGCATGCAATAGAAAGACAACACCAATAGTGAACCACAATGGATATAACAGAGGCTATGCTGTGAGGTTGCCTAAATCATAGGATATAACAGGGGCTATACTGTGAGGTTGCCTAAATCAAGGCTGCTGTATAACACCACTGTTATCCAATGATTTGAATAATAATGCATGATATGCGAAGTTACAATCCGGCATTCATGAGTATATTGTAGTTGATAGATTATGTCTTTAGTTTGAATTTGGAGAGTGATAATTAGCTCTTGTAGGTTTTATTTATGAGAGTAATTGACTGATGCAATAAGCTCATGTTAATTTTTAACTTACAAGTGTATTTACTATAATACAACCATGAGTGCAACTGACTCTTGAAACTAAAGTTAAGCGTGTTTTCTGATTTTTGTTGAATAACAATTTCAATAAAATGTCAGTTCACCTCATTTTTTGCATATAAAACTTGTACATATATAAAAACAATTGGAAACTGGTAGTGTGAAAAAGTTTATTTAGCTCAAATCTGCTAATTAATAACTTGGAGTTAGTAAACCTACCAGTGAATATATTTCATTTCTTAATGTAGTTGTAGTCAATGCACTTGCAATTCAAGGGAAATTTTTGTTTTTTGCAGATATGCAATACTCGTAGAAAAGTTTTTTCTTTTTCTTTCTACTTTTAAATAGACAAGTGCAGTTAGCGCTTCAAAGTTCCAAAGTTATTATTTTTTAAGTCCAAGGCTGAAATTGTTAAAGAATACAGTTCTATTGCTGCATTGAAAGCAGCTGTATATATATATAATAACTATTTTTAAACTAGAATAATTTATGACAAATTGTTAGCATATGTACGATATATGGGAATTATAAAGTATCGTAGCCTGTATGTACAGGACAAACATTTTTGTAAAAAAATTACGACAAGTGTTAAGAGGATTTATTACCAGGGTTTATTTTATTCAGAAATTTATTTATTGAGATTATATCAAAGTTTGTTTTATTATTATTTTTGTTTGTTTGTTTGTTTGTTTGTTTTCCCCAGAGATATTAATGGGTATGTTAAAATAGTTTTTTCTAGGATAGGTGATTTATTTATTTTGTCATTAGAGAGATTATTCAAATTTATTTAATCTTTGTTTTGTGATTACTATTCTGGTATAATATTATGTTAAGAAATTAAATACAAAACAAAAAGGAGAACAAATTCAGGATAAAAATAAGTCAATAGTACGAAGAATATGAATTTGCGTCAACCATTTAGTATATTACATGTGTATGCCTATATAAGGCAATGCCTTGTCTAAATATGGTTATTTTGCACTGCACATCAACCTGTGTCCCAGTCGTTATGCCTATGTATTGAAGGCATTGTATTGTCACAATATTATTCTTTTGAATTCTTCAAATAATTTTTTGTCAAATATGACAATTTTTCTAAAAATAGTTATTAGCAGGTTTCTTTGGTGTACCTGACAATTGCTGAATTTAAACCTCTGCATGTCTTATATGATGTGGTATGCCTAAATAAGGCATTTTATAGATTATGCTTTATAAGGTAGTGTTTTGTCCAAACATGGTTAAGGTAGCAGCAGGGGTAAAAGGTGATAATAATCTGTGATTCAAACATCCTCTAAAAAATACTAAGCATGCTACTGTCACAAAATATACATCTGAAAGCTTAATAGATACATGCAAATACTGTGGTGCATATGCTGACCAATGTTTGTTCGAGATATTACCTGACAGCCAATTTTACTATTGTGCTTTTTTAACTATTGAGGCAATGTATTGTCCAAATATGATTAATTTGCATTGCACATGAATCCATTTAGTATATTATGCCTAAATAAGGCAATGTATTGTCCAAATGTGGTTAATTTGCATTGCACATGAATCCATTTAGTATATTATGCCTAAATAAGGCAATGTATTGTCTAAATATGGTTAATTTGCATTGTACATGAATCCATTTAGTATATTATGCCTAAATAAGGCAATGTATTGTCCAAATATGGTTAATTTGCATTGCACATGAATCCATTTAGTATATTATGCCTAAATAAGGCAATGTATTGTCCAAATATGGTTAATTTGCATTGCACATGAATCCATTTAGTATATTATGCCTAAATAAGGCAATGTATTGTCCAAATATGGTTAATTTGCATTGCACATGAATCCATTTAGTATATTATGCCTAAATAAGGCAATGTATTGTCCAAATATGGTTAATTTGCATTGTACATGAATCCATTTAGTATATTATGCCTAAATAAGGCAATGTATTGCCCAAATATGGTTAATTTGCGCATGAAGGGCTTGTGCATATATGAAGTAATGCATGTACAGATAATTAGCATATACACATAGACCCTAGAGGTTTATGTACACACCAACCTGTGTGGCTTGTATAAGAAAACATTTGACCTCATCTTTACTTCTTATACAAATTTATTTTGACACTGAACATGAATTACAATTAGTTTCAGCAACCCAAATATTATGCAGACTTTCAAATTTTGATTTCAACATGTTAAAATAGCGTTTTGTTTATTTTCTTTCATGTGGATTGACAGTTATTTGTTGCTGTCCAAAATAAATGTGTGCAATCTTGAAAGGCATTGGTTGAACGTGTATTCTGTTTTTTTGCACATAAAAAACATTTATTTTCACTATTTTTGACTCCCATGTGCGAAGCACAAAATGGGAATCTTTGCAGTTAGTATGTCTGTATGGGGGTGTGTGTGTGTGTGGGTGGGTGGGTGTATGTGTGTCCGTCTGTTCCACTGATATCTCGAGAACCGTACATCAGTTTTTAATGAAACTTGGTGCATATATGCTCTGGGCCAATACGCAGATTTGATTAGGTTTTGGTAAAATTCCATGCATATTAATTACCTAATTTGCATGATAATTAGCTGATTTTTAGCTGTTCCATGACTGTTCCACTGATAGCTAAAGAACCACTCATTGGATTTTGATGAAACTTGGTATATAGATGCTCTGAACTTGTGAGCAGATTTGATTAGTTTTTGGTAAAAATTCGTACATATTAATTACCTAATTTGCATGATAATTAGCTGTTTTATGACTGTTCCACTGATATCCACTCATTGGATTTTGATGAAACTTGGTACATAGATGCTCTAAACTAATGCTAGGTTTTGATCAGTTTTGGGTAAAAATTACCTAATTTGCATAATGATTAGTCAATTTCGTTTTTCCACTGGTATCTCAAGTACTAATCATCACATTTCAATGAAACTTGGAACATAGATGTCATAGGACACTGCACAGATCTGATAGTTTTTAGGGTAATATCAGTGCATATTAATTACCTAATTTGCATAATTAATTAATTTTCAGCTTTTGATGTTTCAAGTAGTAAGCATTACATTTCAATGAAACTTGGTACATAGATCCTTTAGGACTATCCAGAGACCTGATTAGTTTTAGGGTAAATAATTGTGCATATCAATTACCCAATTTGCATAATTAATTAATTTTCAGCTTTCACACTGATTTCTCAAGTACTAATCATCACATTTCAATGAAACTTTGTACATGGATGCTGTAGGACAATAGACAGACCTGGATAATTGTGGGTTAAAATCTGTACATATTGATTACTAATTTGCATAATTAACTACTTTTAAGCTATCACACTGATATCTAAATTACTAATTATTTCATTTCAATGAAACTTAGTACAAAGATGCTCTAGGACAATGTACAAACCTGATTAGTTTGGGGTTAAAATCTGTTTATATTAATTCCCTAATTAGCATAATAATTCATAATTTTTTTTGGTTCCAATCACATTTCAATAAAACTTGGTACATAGATGGTCTGTTACATTGCGCAGACCTCATTAGTTTTACACTCAAACCTGTTTATATTAATTTTCTGATTTGCATAATTAGTTTTCAGCTTTTCCATCAATATCTCAAGTACAAGTAATTTCGAATTATTTTTAATGTGTCTCCAATACTCTCAGCACATGGGAGTTCTTTCTAAGCTTTCTTTGATTATGTTTGAGCCCTTTTGCTGTGTTTTAAGTTCACAAATTCAGCAGAGAAATAATGATTTCTATTGTTATTTTACATGATCACACAGATTTAATTTAAAAGATTTTACTCATCGGTGAAAATAGTGAAATTAAAAACCAACGAATAATTTATCCCTTTATAGTATATAATGCATGCCCCCTCACACTGCAACAACTACCATCCTTTCAATATTTACTACCCCATCAGTACGATAATACTGATGTGTGGCACAATGGTTTAAGATGTTCACGTATCATCAGGGAGATTGTGTGTTTGACTCCTGTGGATGGCTGTACACTCTGCAGTGCAAAATGAGTCTTCCTAACGTATTCTCTCTCTCTTTATTCATTTGTAATCTTGAGTTGTGCAGTTTCTCATTTTAGAGTCTGTTGACAGGGAATGATACGAGTGGCAAGTAAGAATCTAGACTGGGCCAGCCATGGCAATTTTATATATATTTTTTTAAATCTTGGTCTGACACAAAATTTTACAAGATCAAAATGCTGCCCTTTTCATTGGTTGACAGCTCGCACGTTGTGCTACTCATTAGCATATTTATCACCTCAAAAACGTGACAACTTTAGAGGGGCGTGGCAGAACAAACCAGTGGTGACAATTTTGTGTCAATACGAGAAATTCTACAAGCTCGTTCCAAAGAATTATCATGTAAAAGGATAACATTGCCATGACTGCATTACAGGCAAGCTAGTAACAGCATCAAGGTCTTCACATTAGTTGGAATCCGGCAAGAAAATTCGTCAGTAGGAAGCATCACAATGAGATGGTATTGCCTGATCAGTTTGTAGAATCAATCCCCTATAATAAGAATGTACAATACTTCTGTTTTTAAACTTTTCCTCCTATTGGTGGCACTAGCTTTAGATATAGTGGTATGGCGTTCACTGCCATTCAAATTAGAACTCATTTTCATAAATCAGTATGTCACTATATTTTACATGCATCTGGTATAATTGAAAAGTCAAAATATTAATTGGATTGCCATAAATCCGTAACAATTGTTGTTGGTTGTCACAGGGAGACTCACTTTGATGTGCAGAACACTGTAATGTTATGCAGACTAGTTTTTTTATTTTCAAAGGTATCACATTGCTAGGTTACACACAGAGCACAGAGTATGTAAATTAATGATATATAGTGATGGACAATCTCATCTATGGATTATGTATACAAAGCTGTTCCATGGAATGAGCCACTGAAGAATACAATGTTCTTTCGACGCATCTGTACAATAGGTATGCGCATGGAGAGCAGAAGTATGCATGTACATTCCAACTACTACCGGGTAATGCTGTTGGGACGCATGGTTTGATTGATCTATATGTTTTTCTGACCCCCCCCCCCTCCGAATGGTTACACTAGCTCAATCTGATCAAAATCCGATGTAGGTATGCGGCTCCAATTTTTTTTTTATTACCCTTTATATAATATTTATTTGTATTTTAGTTTGAATATGTCAAATTTTTGTTTTTTCTTGCCATTAATCAGTTCTTAGAAAATCGTTGTCACAGGGACTAACTCTAGTTCTGGGACACGATTTTCTAAAAACTGATTAACGGCAAGAAAAACCAAACAAGCAGCCAGTCGGCTGAGCTAGCTCAGCTGTTAGCAATGCACATTTCAATAAAAGAACAGAAGATATCATTAGAAAATGAACAATATGTATAGTATCAAAGCAATGGGACTTGCTGTTTTCAACAAGAATTCAAAAATATCACTTTTCACCAAAAATGACAAAAATAATCATCAAAAATAGATAATTGAAGATATCACCATGAAATTACCAAATCTGAAAGAGGTACACATGTAGTACCTATATATGTGATATAAAAACAATCAGACTTGCGGTTTTCAACAAGAAGTCGAAAGTATCACTTTTTACCAAAAATGACAAAAATATTAAGCAAACTTAGAGAATTGAAGATATCATCATGAAATGAACAAATCTGTAAGTGGTTCATATGTAGTACCTATACATGTAATATCAAAGCAATTGGACTTGTGGTTTTTAACAAGAAGTCGAAAATATCGCTTTTTACAAAAAATGACAGAAATATTCACCAAAATTAGAGAATTAAAGATATCATTACAAAATGAACAAATCTAAGAGAGGTCCACTTGTAGTACCTATATATGTAATATCAAAGCAATCAGACTTGCGTTTATCATCGTGAAATGAACAAATCTGAGAGACGTCTACCCAAGGTACATATACACCAACTATCAAAGCATTCAGGCTTGTAGTTTTCAAGAAGTCGAAAAGGTAAAACATTGACACGGACAACGAATGACGATGGACAATCAGTCATATGATAAGCTCCGCTCGACAAAGTCTACAGCGGAGCTAAAAATTGACATGCAAACTAAAGTACAAATAAATATTATACAAAGGGTCACAATAATAATAACAAAAAATCAAAGAAAGCTTAGAAAGAACTCCCATGTGCTGAGAGTATTGGAGACACATTAAATATAATTTGAAATTACTTAGCTGAAAACTAATTATGCAAATCAGAAAATTAACATAAACAGATTTGATTGTAAACCTAATGAGGTCTGCGCAATGTAACAAAAACTCTATGTACCAAGTTTAATTGAAATGTGATTAGAACCAAAAAATTATGAATTATTATGCTAATTAGGGAAATAATATGAACAGAGTTTTACCCCAAACTAATTAGGTTTGTACA